AGCATGGCTGTCTGGGGAGTTCTGGGAGTTGAAGTCCACACATCTTCAAGTGGCCAAGGTTGAGAAACACTGACCTAGGTCCTAATTGCAAATTGTTACCAACCTCCTTTTCTTCTAGTTATGTTCAACTCCACCCTACAAATGAATTGTCAGAAAAAAGCAAATTCCAGTACACACTTGGATGATGAAAATGCACTCTGTGTGCCTATTAACAAGCGAAAACCTTAGCATGTCATGGTCACCCTGCAGCAGTCATTCTTTAAGAAATTCTAAAGGCCTTTTTAGGGATGCAATTCACAGTCCTGATTTGCACACATAAAAGCTCCATTCAGCTTTGGAGCAGCGTATTGAAAGAATGTTCCTGTATGAACCTAACTGTTAAGGACCTTGTCAGAGATCCTGTTCTAGGATGCATCGTTATTTGTTTATTCAGTATTTTGCCCACTACAATGGAGAGGCTCTTGACATTATCTGAACTTCATTTTGTGAGACCTGCGATCGTTCTTTTATGTTGGTGGGAGTCAGTTGTGGAACACACTCTTCCAACGACACTTGGTTAGCTACCTTGAAAAGTTAATGCTTTTTTAAAAGCTTTCTCAGGCTTTTAGTGGAACACACAGCTGCTCTTGCATCAGTTGTTTTTGTCCTTACTGCTATTTTTACTTTTATTGATAGCTCTATTTCTATTCTTGGTTCTGCTTTTACTAGTGCGTTATTGCCCATTCAGTCTACAGGATCTACACAGTAACTCTGTGCAGACTTACTAGGAGTAATTTACACTGAGATGTAAACAAGTTCAGGATTGTATTATTAGAGTTTTGTTATTTAATCATATTTTTTTCCCATTAAGATCCTTGGAAAGTCTTCTGGTGAAAAATATAACTTTTAAACAAGGATGATTTTTTAAAAAAGTAATAGAAATTACCCCCTTGTATTTTCTGGGTGTGTACAGACAATCTGAGAATCCCACTTAAGCAGCTGCACCAAGCCTTCCAGCGAATGTAGCCTGATGAGCATTTGATTCGTATTAACATGCCTCATGAAGCACCCTTTTTAAGCTTTTCCCAACCCTAATTAAATATAATAAATTAAATAATTAACAATTTGCTGCC